ATTTGGGCCTTCGGTGGGGCTCCCTACGGGGCCACGAAGCGTGAGAGGGGTGTGCCAAAATGGGTGCGGTGGGCGCATGCGAACCCTGCCCCTGGAGCCTACGGTGGGGTTCCCTATGGGGCCACGAAGCGTTCGAGGGGTGTGCCACAATGGTTGGCTGGTTCGGAGGGCAGAGGCAGGAGATGCGGGGCGCTCTCTTAAAAACGAGGGCCCAACACCGTAGGAAGGTTGGGGAAACTGAGAAGAGGTAGCGAAGATCCAACTCATATCGCTGAATGCTCGCACCAGCCTGCACCGAATGCTTTTCGGACGAGGCCCCCCTTCGAGGCTCTTTCGGACACTCCAAACATGGCCACAAAAAGTGTCACCGCCGTCGAATCGGGTTCAGTTGAGGCTTACTTTGTAAAACCCGAACAAAGGAAAACGATGTCAAACATGTGCGGTAGTGACGCCCTTCAGGACGCAGACGGGGAGCCGATCACGAGACAACGCGACTCCTGGGCCACGAAACGTGTGAGAGGCGTGTCAAAAAAGATGCGGTGATGCCATGCGAATGCAGCCACTTGGGCCTTCGGTGGGCTTCCCTGTTGGGCTACGCAACGTGTGAGGGGTGTGCCGGAATGGGTGTGGAGACAGCATGCGCACGCTGGCATTTGGGCCTTCGGTGGGGCTCCCTATGGGGCCACGAAACGTGCGAGGGGTGTGCCAAAAAGGATCAGGTGGTGCCATGCGAACGCAGCCACTTAGGCCTTCAGTGGGGCCCCCTATGGGGCCACGCAACGTGTGAGGGGTGTGCCGAAATGGGCGCGGTGGCGCCATGCGAACGCAGCCCCCTGGGCCTTCGGTGGGGCCCCCCATGGGGCCACGAAACGTGTAAGGGGTGTGCCGAAATGGGCGCGGTGGTGCCATGCGAACCCTGGCATTTGGGCCTTCAGTGGGGCTGCCTACTGGGCCACGGAACGTGTGATGGGTGTGCCCAAGATGGGTGCGGTGGTGCCATGCGAACGCAGCCACTTGGGCCTTCGGTGAGGCTCACTACGGGGCCACGAAACGTGTGAGGGGTGTGTGCCGAAAATGAGTGCTGTGGTGCCTTGCGAACGCAGCCCCCCGAGCCTTCGGGGAGGAGAGGAGGAAGGGGAAGAGGAGGAGAGGAGACGCGGGGCGCTGTCTCTTCAAAACGAGGACCCAACACAGGATGGCTGGGAAGAACACATCCCACGGGTGAGGCCAACAACTTCGAGACGTAGCACCGGGATAGACACCCTCGGCGAGGCGCAGCTGCTGGAAACTGGCCCGAAGCGAGAAAACCTAACGAATCTTTGGCATGGGGGCAACGGGCCCTGAGGGAAACGGGTCCTGGACCCTGGCGCCTTCCCCCAGGACGAGATCTTCCTCCTGAGCCGTTTTCTGAAAGTCCCGGGGCCCGTGGGAGGCCCCGGGAGCCCGAAAACGGCCAAACAAGTCAGGACTCGCTTCCCTGAGGACCCGTTTCCCTCAGGACCCGCTCCCCCCATGGCGAGAAACACGAGAAATGTCCGAAGACTTCCGGAATGATCCCACACGGTGCCGGGGCGAAGACGTGGCCACGTGCTCAAGCCCGGCCGCGTCCAGCGGGATCTCGTCCGCGAGGGCGGCCAGGCGCTGTTTGGCGGCGGGCGGGCGGGCGGGCTGTCCCAAGCGGAAACCCGACCCACGCCATCGCTTCCCCTCAGCCGTACTCCGCTTTCCTCTGTAAGAAGAAAAAACGCCATGACCATAAGCTGTTGGCGCTCCGCGCGAATTTCCTGGATCTGCGCTGGGCCCCCCCCCCCTGGCGCGCGGAGCGCGCCAGCGGCTGTGGGACCCAGAGCGAAACCAAGAAATCCGCGCGGGGCGCCAAAAGCTTCTGCTTATGGCGCGTCTTCTTCTCCGACCCTCTGCCTCTGACTCTTCTCCCGCCTCCCCCCCCACCCTCCACTCCACCCTTCCTGCTTGCTCCTCCTCCTCCTCCTGCTCCTCCCTCCGCCTCACGGATGTGAGCTCAGGCAGCCCAGCCAGAGCAATCATGTGGCTCTCGGGCAGCTCGCCCGGGGCCGGCCTGGGCCTGCCGCGTGGTGCTGTCTGGGGGGGACGTCGGGTCTGCCGGCCAGATCTCTCTCGTGCCAGTGCGCGCTGCTCCTCCCGACGGGCAGACTTGAGCAGGCGACGCTCGGTTGTCGCCTGCGGCATATGGGGTGAATGAGGGGGCGGCCTGTTGGCATGGGACATCGCATCGCGGTGCTTCTCACTCGCTCACTCCTCCTCCCTCCCTCCTCCCCTCCCTCCTCCTTGCTCCTCCTTCGCTCCCGGGTCAACGCCGTGAGAGCAGCCCGACGTCGGGGTCTGGATATTCCTCCTCCTTCCTCCTCCTCCTCCTGCGCCATCTCCCACACACACACACATAGGGACAAAAGAAGAAAGGGAAGGGGACAGAGATACAATCCATATCTCCTTTGTGTGTCTCTATCTCTCTCTCTCTCTCGCTCTCGCTGTCTCAATCCAATCTCCTCTCCCTGTGCACCTTTGAGCGTGGACGTAGTATTGTGTCGCTACTGTGCCCATTGGAGAGTTTCCGAGGGAGGGGGGAGGGCACGGCGAGATCCGAGGAAATGTTCGAAGACTTGAGCGACATCGATTTTGTTTGCGCATGGGGCAAGCTGTCGGGAAATACAATTGAAGCCATGTCCAGCAAAGTGTGGCGTCTTTGCTCTGTGTCGAAGCTTCATCGGACCGTTGAACTGGGGTTGCCTTGGGCCGTCTTCGAAGAGCCTCTGGAGTACAGCCTCGGTCGCGGTGGCTGCTCGACCTCGTGCGCAGAAATGGGAGGCAGCTGGAGGGAGAGGGGGAAAGGATGTGGGGAAAGGGAAATGCTCAGATGCCTCCCACCATGGCGTCGAAAGATCGCGCCGCATCACCGATGCATTGCCTCTGCATCGGCGATGCATCTGCGACGTCGGTGATGCATCCGTGACGTCGGCAAGGAGAGGATCGGGCTCCACATCGCGGCGCGTCGCCGATGCATGGGCGATGCGGCGCGATCCTCTGGAACTCTTCGGGGCAGCGAGGCAGCAGAAGGGGAAGGGCCCACGATCCCCAGACAGTGCAATAAAGCGCCACCGTGTGCTTGTCCACCGAAACCCTTCCATACGACGAAGCTGGCAATGTCCAGAATGGGCCTCGGACTAAGCAGGATTAAGCCGGATGAAGCGGGATTGAGCGGGATTGAGCGGGATTACGCCAGATTGAGCGGGATTGAGCCGGATTAAGCCGGTTTTCGGACCAGGGCAAAGTCAGAATTTAACCTCCCAGGAGTTGCATCCGAACTAACATGTACGTCCCGAGGATCACCGAGAGGGGGGGTGAGCCAAGGGGATCACAGAGATTAGGACAGGGGACCGGCACGACGGACACGGATACTGTGGGACTGTGCGTCCGAGGGCGTGCCTGGGAACCATCGCTCCAGACCATGTCTGTTTCGCGCAAACCGCCGCAGGAGGCAGAGGCTGAACTTGGGCGCCCGAGTTATCCGGGGTAACTCGGGTCCGGGGTAACTCGGGTTCGGGTTCCCGAAAAAGCGAACCCGAGTTATCCCTGACCCGAGTTACCCCTGATGATTCGGGGCTCTGGGCGCCCGAGTTATCCGGGGTAACTCGGGTCCGGGATAACTCGGGTTCGGAATCCCGAAAAACGAACCCGAGTTAGCCCTGACCCGAGTTACCCCTGATGATTCGGGGCTCTGATGAACGTGCCACCTGCTGAGGCTGGATCTGCTGCCGTGCACGACCCGGCGTCCAGTGCGACCTTCTGGGGCGAGGCGTCAGTCGCGAAGGGGGTTGGGGGGTGGGAGGGGTGGGTGGGGTGGGGGGGTTCGGGGGGGTGGGAAGGTGGGTGGGGGAGGTGGGGACCCACGTAACGGCAAGGCTGGGGCGGGGTTGGGCACGTCGGGGCAGGTTTGCGCTGCGACCGCCATAGCATGCGAGCGAGAGCGCCAGTCCTTGGGGAGGGGGTCCAGGCCCGCCGCCGTACGTACGCTCGGCGCGGGTAGCGACCATGACGCGCCAGATATAATCTGATCTCACTCTCGCTAAAATCGGCGGCGAGCGAGGGGGGTAATGAGAAAGAGGCCCTCTCAGAAGGCTCGCAAGTCCACCGGCCTTCTGAGAAGCCCTCTCAGACTCCCCCGAAGACACAGCAATCTTCTCAGAAGGCGCGAGGGCTCCTGAGAAGCCCCGCCGCCTTCTGAGAAGGCCTCCTCCTTCTCATTTCCTGCCCCCCCCGCTGGCCGCCGAAAGATGTAGGACCCACCCCCCCGATCTGACGGCACGTGCCAACCACGAGGGGAGACGAACGGCCGCCTCCGCCAGCAGCGCCGGCGACGTCCGCCGCTGCTGCAGGGCCCGCAGCGTCAGGCGGAAGTTGGCCGCGTCCAGCGGCCGGCCGCTGGAGTGGGCGTCCTCGACCGTCGCTGCCCCCTCCCCCCGCCGCCTGCCCCGCGGAGGGCACGAGTGCGGCGCCCGACGCTGCCGAGAAGTACTGCAGGGGCTCAGGGGGACACGCAGATGCACGAACACAACTCCCAGGATTCCCCAGACTGCCCCAAATGTCCAGGGTCTTCGTCTTCTCCCCCCCCCCTTTCCCACATCTTCCTACATTTCCCTGGGGGTCGACGATCAGTTGTGTCTGTGTTTTTGCCCCTCTTGAACTACTGGCCCCGTTCGCTTCCCTTTCAGGCACCCTGTGTTCCCATGATGAAGGGGCCCCAGGACACACAAATAAATACACACAAATAAAAATATTCCCCACATTTTCCAGTATTTTCTAGGTTTTTTTCTTCCCCCCCACTTCCCATACTTTCCCATATTTTCTGGGGAATCGACGATTCATTGTGTCTGTGTGTTTTTTCCCGTCCTGACATGTGTGCTCCAGCTTCGAGAGAAACGCGGCTCTCCGAAGGCAGGCCGTGCACGGGCGACGGCACCGCACCGTGGCTGGACGCCCGCCGGGCCTCCCCCGCTCGAGCGCACGGTACGGGGCGCCGTGCGGCGGCCGGCAGGGCCGAAGAACGGATGCCCTGTACACAGTCGGACCTAGGCTTCTGTCGGGCGTGTCCCCCTGCAGGGGGATTTCCGACGAAAAATGAAAGATACCCTCAAAATACCCCCCAAAGGTAAAAATGATACCGGAGAAAAATCCCAATCAGATTTTGGTTAGGGCTATAGGGCTATTGGGCTATAGGGCTATACGGCTATCGGGCTATAGGGCTATCGGGCTATAGGGCTATCGGGCTGTGAACCATATGGCCATAGGGCTATAGGGCTATGGGGCTATAGAGCTATATGGGCTATGGGGCTATAGGGCTATAGGGATATAAGGCTATTAGGGCTATAGGAATATAAGGCTATAAGGCTACAGGGCTATAGGGCTATACGGCTATAAGGCTATAGGGCTATAGGGCTACTGGGCTATTGGGCACCCCCGGGCACCCGGGCACCCCCGGGCCCCCGGGCCCCCGGGCACCTGGGCCCGGCCACCGAAATCGGCCACCCGGGCACCCCCGGGCACCCGGGCTTACGGCCCCGGCCACCGAAATCGGCCGCCCACCTCACCTCAGCTTTATATCCGCTAGGACCTCTACAGAAGCAAGCTCTGATTGGGGAAAATCATCCAAAAAATAGTCCCCAGGCTATTTTTGCATAACGTGTTGATTATGTTTAGGGTGGTATTTTTAAATGTTTCGTCGAATATCCCCATGTAGGGGACAGGCCCGACTTAAACCCAGGCCGGAAGAACATCCCTCAAGAACAGGAGGCCCTCCGCAGGCCAGAACACACAGACCGTCTCTGGGGGTGTCCTGCCCAGGATGCGCAACACACAGCCCACAAGCGCGAAGAACATCGGGAGACCCTCCCCGAACCGACCTCGACCTCATGCATCGGTCCGACTGTAGTACCAGTCCTGGGTCGAGGATCGACGACGACGCCGAGGGAGGTGCCACCGCGCTTGGGCACACACAAGTCGTCCGCGGATAAGGGGGGACGACACACTTAGAGGGGCCCTGGGACACACGAATACACAGACACACATTCTCAGATTCCCCGCATTTCCCATAGTGTCTCGGCTTTCGTCAAAGGACCCCCCCCTTCCAATAGTTCCCCATGTGTTCCTGGGATCAGGCTGGGCATGTCCCCCCACAGGCGGATGTTGGGCGAATTTTGATATAAAAATGTTCAAACAAATACTGATACAAAAAGTAGAAGCATCCTCCCTAGACTAGTTTTGACTATTTTCGAAGATTCGTCCTAGAGGGACAGGCCCGAGTTAATTCTGGGAGTCGACGATTCATTGTGTCTGCGTGTTTTCTCCTCCTGACCCTCGTGCGGCCAACAAGGGGCAACGCGGAGCAGGGAGCGAGAAAAAGAGGCGTCCCTGGCCGCGACGAATCTCGGCCACGAGCGCGCACACACACACACACAAACCTCCTCCTCCTCCTCCTTCTCCTCCTCCTCCCCTCCTGCTCCGACCTCACTGAGAGCTCGTAAGAGGAGCAGCCCGAGCTCCAGCGACATCCGGAGCCCCTTCCGAAGACTTAATCCAGAAAGGCGCTGCTTAGATAACCACCATGTAGGAACCACCCCCGACCTCACTGAGCTCGGAAAGGGGAGCAGCCCGAGCTCCAGGGGAAAATAGGGAGCCCCTCCGAAGACCAAACCCAGACAGGCGCTGCCCTGATGCCTTCCATAACCCATCGGGGGTCTTTAGATACTCATTCCTGTTCGGCGACCCTCTGGAAAGACTGGGGCCCCACCGAGAACGGAAAATGATGAGCTGCTCATCCGCCGCACCCGCTTTTTCGGCGACCGCATTGAAGGACTGGGGTCCCACGAATAACGGATAATGATTAACTACTCATCCGCCGCACCCGCCGCACGACGACGACGACGAGACGAAAGAGGAGACAGTGAGCAACGCCTTCGGCGAAGAATGTGTCGATCTCTGTTGCAATCCTCTTACGAGCCGAAGCCCCGAAGCCCTGGCACTGCTCTCCGGGTCCGGCTTTTCATGCCCGATGTCGTTGCCTACGGGCCCAGGGCGGCGCCCAACGAGGCCCCCCAGAAACCGAACACCGATCATTTCAACTACACCAGAGAAAAACCCAAATCAGTGGATGGTTTGCAAGTTAGTAAGTAGTATGGATACTGAGAACGATTGCGAGATCGACAGTGAGATCGAAGGCGGAATCGATAGTGAGGACGATTGTAAGGACGATCGTGAGTCCGAGAGTGAAGTCGAATCAATGAGATCGAGAGTGAGATCGATGGTGAGATCGCTCGTGCGATCTATAGTGGGATCGCTTGTGAGATCGACAGTGAGATCGATGGTGAGATCGACGGTGAGATCGCTAGAGAGGTGGGTAATGAGACTGATCGATAAGACGATCGACCAAACACCCAAGAACCCGGGAACCCCGCCGCCCACCGAAATCGGCCGGATTGCGGAACCGGGAACCCTGGAACCCGGAACCTGGAACCCGGGAGCCCGGCCGCCTACCGAAACCGTCCCGGAACTTTCGCCAGATCCTTCACTATCCGCCAAGACCCCTTCGGTGCAAGCACTGATTGGGGAAACACGCGCGTCGTGATGTCCCACTGTGCGAGCCTCGCCATCGCTCGGGCGTCCCTTGTCCGTGCACGTTTCAGTCTCGTGCGCAAGCGTTTCGCCAGATGCTCGAAGGTGCTGCTCGGCGGTCCCTCGCCGAGGCAACAGCGCACGTGTACGAGCGATGCCAAGCAGCGTGTCTGGGCGATTGTGGCTCCGCGGACCGGCCCGAACTCCAGGGCTCCTACTGAACCCACCGCGGCCCTTCTTCCAGCGCGCTGGCTGCAGGGAGCGTCCGCCGCGAGGTGCAGGAGGAGGAGGATGGAGGAGAAGGCTGGAGGAGGACGGGGAGGAGGAGGAAGCGGCGGAGGACGAGGAGAAGGAGGAGGAGGAGGAGCACGACGAGGAAAAGTAGGACGAGGAGGTGGAGGAGGACGAGGACGAGGAGGGGGGGGGGGCGGGCGAGGACGAGGACGAGGACGACGAGGAACGCGACGGGGGGGGGCCGTGGCAGCGCTGCGCGCCCCCCCCCCCCTGGAGGCGCACGTCCGAGCCGAGCATGCAGCCGGAGCACCGATCTCTCGGGCCGCCCACTGAAGGCCTCTTGGGAGCTTCCTGGGCCGCCCTGCGGCCAAGCTGAGGCCGTCTCGGGCCGTCGTGGGTGCATCTTGGGTGAAGTCGGGCCTGTCCCCCCTACAGGGGGATTGTCGACGAGAGATAAAGAGTACCCCAGAAATCATCAAACAATTGTCCAAAAAAATAGACTGGGGACTATTTTTTGAGCAGTTTTTTACCTTCTTGGGGTAATTATTTTTGGGTGTTTTTGAATTGTTCGTCGGAAATCTCCCTGTAGGGGGACACGCCCGACATAAATCTTGGGCCGTCTTGGAGAGATCGTGCGGCCATCCTGGGCCCTCTTGGGCGGGCAACTTGCCCGTCCTGGAGGCCATCCTGCACACAGCGCCGCGGCAGGCTCGTGCCGCGCCAACTTCGGCGCTGGCTTCCGAGACCGCGCGGCTCGCTCCACCTCGCACGATCGGCGGCGCGTCGCCCGCCGGATCGCCACACGCCGGCTGGTTCTGGGCCCCCGGCGGCGGTCTTCAGCCCTGCGCGCCCGCGCCGGGGCCGTCGTCGCCGCGGGGGCACGGCGAGCCCGCTGTGCCCGGGCGGCGTGGCCAGCACACCGCCGGGCAGGTTGCTGCCAGACTGCGGAGCGCGCGCGCCGCGCCCCCTGGGGGGGGCTGCTGCACACCCTCCCAGCAGGAAACATGTGCTGGGCGATGGCGGCCCGCGGGGGAGCGACGGGGGGGACCAACTCAGGGGCTGGCAGCGAGCCCGCACCGGCGGCACACCGCCGCTCGACGGGCGACGTGCGCGAGGCCGCACGCTCCTCGGCGGGGTGGGCTGTCAGGCCCCTGCCCCCCCCGAGCCGATCCCCCCACCCCCGTCGTTGCCCCTGACTTTTGCCCCTCGTGCTCCCTCCTCGGGACCCCTCGCGAGCCGCAAAAGCACGGCAGCCCTTTCTCGGGCAAGGCTCGGCCCCCTGGTAGCCCTTCTGCCAGGCCCAAGCGCCGTCCAAGACCGTCTCATGATGAAACACCGCCCGGGTTCCCGAGAAAAGACGGGGAGAGAATCGAGGCTTCCGGGCGACCACGTTGCGAACAAGACACGACGTCGGAGTCTGGGCCTCGCCTCCGCCGAGGGGCGCGGCCCAGGAATCATCGCACAGCGGACATCCCCATGCCCCCCACCCCCTTCGGCGGCGAGCACAAGCGGGTGAAGCTTCTGAGACGGCAAGGGCGGTCTCAGCAGCCATCTCGCCGTCCACGGAGCCTTCTCGGAAGCTTGCAGGCCGCTCTTATAGGCCCCCTCCCTTCTCGGGAGGAGGGCTGCCCCCGTCGCTCCAGCCCCGTTGACGCGCCGCGGACCCGTCGCCCCACCTGCAGCGAGCCGCAGACGACGAACAGACCGACGCAACAGAACGCCAAGGCAGGTTGGAGCGGTCGCGAGCATTGAGCAGGGACCGACAGTCCCGGCATTCATATAGTCCTACCACGAAATGTTCTTAGAACCCAGACATGTTCTAATAACAAAAACCAAGTTCTTAGAACATAAACCGGATGTCATAAAACAAAACAGACTCCGCCAGAAATGTTCTAAGAACATTCCGTTGGAACCTCAAAAGGTTCTGAGAACAGTGTTTGGTAGGGCTATAGGCGAGCCAGGACGCTTCGCCACTGCTTGAGAGCATGCACGACTCCAGGACCAGAGGAAGGGAGTGGCGGAGCTGGTAGGACTTCGGGCTGCGCGCAGGCAGCACCCCCGGGAGGTCCTGGCTGACCTCGAGAGGGGCCCGAGTACTCCAGGACGGTCTTGGCTTAAGTCGGGCCTGTCCCCCTACAGGAGCATTTTGGACGAACCAACAAAAAACCAAAGAATGCCCCCAAAATAATCAAAAATGGTCCACAAATAGTCCCAGACTATTTTTCGACTATTTTTGAATATCCCCCCTGTGGAGGGACAAGCCCGACTTTAGTCTTGGCGCCAGGGTGCTGCGACCGACCTGGACTACTCGGGAAGCCTGTTGAGGCCAGCGGGGATTGCCCGGAAGGCTGCCCGTGCGCAGCCTGCAGACGGGATCCACCCAAAGGGGGGGGGGGACACTGAGAGGGGAGGCATGAACTCGACCCGCTGGTGCACCGGGCTGCCGCAGACAGATGCCCCCCGCACTCCCGCCCATGGGTAACCATCGGGAGCTGCTCGAGGCCGGGGGGCTTCTGTTCTGGGCGGCTCGGTGCCAGAACCGATCGAAACTCCCCCCCCCACGGGGCACGGCCCCCCTGTGCGGGATTCCGATGCATGTGCCCTCCCGAGAGGGGGAGATCTAGAGGAAAAAGAACTATGCACATACACCAATTCTGGCCAGGCCCATCCTGAGCCCAGGATCGGTGCATACGCCCTCCTGCCTTGGCCAGGAAGGCATATGCACCGATCCTGGGTCAAGGATGGGCCTTGCCAGAATCGGTGCATGTGTATACTTCTCCTCGCCCGAAGATCAGGGGCGCCGCACGCAGTACGAAGGACGGTCGTCCGAGCGACGTGCCGCAGCCGCAAGCCTGCCTGCCCCAGTCCCCGAGCTCCGCTCGGGAAAGGGAACACCGCTCAGGAAGAGCGGGAAGCCCTGGGATGCACCCCCCGGGGGGGCTCTTCGAACGCACCCCTATCGAGCGTGGACGCCCCCTGTCCTGCATCCCAAGGTTCGGCCCAACATGCTTCTGGAGTCCCGAAACGGTGCGGTGACAGACCGTGCGGTGACCTCGAAGTCCCCCAAGACCTCACCGCACGGTCCGTCACCGCACGGTCTTGGGACCTCGGAGGCCCCCGTCGCCCGAGACGCCCTCGGAGAACGACCCGAGTCCCAAAACCGTGCGGTGACCCCGAATCCCCACCGACTCACCGCACGGTGTGGTCACCACCCCGTTTGGGGGCCCCCGACCCTTGGGAAGTCGATCATCTTTGCTATACGCGTATCGGCACCGACGCCGGGACCCAAGGGGTCCACCTCGACCGAGGGGGGACCGTGCCCCAGATGTCGGGTGGAGGAGGAGGAGGAGGAGGGGGAGGAGGAGGAGGAGGAGGAGGAGGAGGAGGGGAGGAGGAGGAGGAGGAGGAGGAGGAGGAGGAGGAGGAGGAGGAGGAGGAGGAGGAGGAGGATGAGGAGGAGGAGGAGGAGGCCCACCCGAGAGCCCCGGGAAGCCCGGGGAGGCAGGGGCCGACGCCTCCTCTGCCAGCCCGGCCGCGGGAGAGCCCGGAGCGCCGCGGCGGGCCGGCAGGCCGGCGGATCCTCCACGTCTCGCCTGCTCGGGCACGCGCCGCCTCGGGGGCGGGGCTGCGCCCAGCGCGGCGTGCCGGGAGGGTGGGCGGCGAGAATAATAGGGGGGCACGTGCGGACCCTACCCCTGCCCCACGATTTCGGAGGGGGAGGGTGGGGTCCACTCCGATCGGCAGCTCCCGAGCGAAGCGAACCCCACCCTCCCCCTCAGAGATCGTGGGGGGCAGGGGTAGGGTCCGCAGGTGGCCCCCTGGAGAAGCAGCGGGTCCCCCGCGAGGTGGCGCAGCGGCCCTGCGCGGCGGCCTACGGCACGCCACACTGGAGACGAGGGCGCCCACTTTCGCAGCTTTCCGCGAGCAACTTGCGCCCGAGCGTCGGTGAAGACGATCCCGTTTTTTGCGTAGTGTCGATCACCTGGAGGATAGGGAAGGAGGAGGGCGACGATGCCGACGAACCTGAGGATGGAGAGCCGGAGGAGGGAGGGGACGAGCGTGCAAAAAAAGGGCAGGAGGGGTGGAGCAGATGGAAGGATGGGAGGACGAGATAACAGCAAGAACGAAGGACAATGATGAGCTCCTCCTCCTCCTCCTCCTCCTCCTCCTCCTCCTCCTCCTCCTCCTCCTCCTCCTCGAGGGGGGGGGGGAGAAAGGGCTCGCGGGCGCATCGTCCCATCGGGCGGAGGCAGGAGGGCGAAGAGAAGAGAGAGAGAGAGAGAGAGAGAGGGCAGTGAGCAGCGAAGGCTCTGGAGGGTGGCGAGGAGGATTCTTTCAACCATGCCAGGCGGGGGGGGAAGGAGAAGGAGGAGGAGGAGGAGGAGGAGGAGGAGGAGGAGGAGGAGGAGGAGGAGGAGGAGGAGGGGAGAGGGAGGTGGAGGAGGAGGAGGAGGAGGGAGGAGGGGGAGGAGGAGGGAGGAGGAGGAGGAGGAGGGAGGAGGAGGAGGAGGAGGGGGAGGAGGAGAGGAGAGAAGGAGGAGGGAGGAGGAGGAGGAGGAGGAGAGGAGGAGGAGGAGGAGGGGGAGGAGGAGGAGGAGGAGGAGGAGGAGGAGGGAGGAGGTGGAGGAGGAGGAGGAGGAGGAGGAGGGAGGAGGAGGAGGAGGAGGAGGAGGAGGAGGAGGAGGAGGAGGAGAGGACGAGGGGGGGAAGGGGGGGGAGGGGGAGGAGGAGGGGAGGAGGAGGAGGAGGAGGAGGAGGAGGAGGAGGAGGAGGGAGGAGGAGGAGGAGGAGGAGGAGGAAGGAGGAGGAGGAGGAGGGGAGGAGGAGGAGGAGGAGGAGGAGGGAGGAGGAGGAGGAGGAGGAGGGAGAGGAGGAGGAAGAGAGGAGGAGAGGGGGAGGGGGGAGGGTGGGAGGGGGAGGAGGAGGGGAGGAGGGAGGAGGAGGAGGAGGAAGAGGAGGAGGGAGGAGGAGGAGGAGGAGGAGGAGGATGAGGAGGAGGAGGAAGAGAGGAGGGAGAGGAGGAGGGGGGGGAGGGGGGGAGGGGGGAGGAGGAGGAAGAGAGGAGGAGGAAGAGAGGAGGAAGAGGAGGAGGAGGAGGAGGAGGAGGAGGAGGAGGAGGAGGAGGAGGAGGAGGAGGAGGAGGAGGAGGGGGCGTGGCCGCCCTCATTTTTTTCGTGGCGGTATCCGAGGGCCCCGCAAGGTCCCACGGGGTACCTGGAGGCCCGGAAGAAGACCAAGGACGTTCCACGACCTCCGCGTTCGATCGTCGATGCTCGTCCTGCCCTGCGGTCCGCTTTTTGAATTCAAAACACCGCTTTTTTGATTCAAGAACCGCTTCTGCAACTCCAAAACAAAGTCATCGAAGTCAGAAATCAGCTTTGTAAATTCAGATGCACATTGTTCGAATTCCCAGAGAAACAACAAAAACTCCTCTGGGAGCAGGCCGAAGGCCACAAGCGAAGAGCATCTCTTCCTGCCCACGCCCTTGCGAGCTGGACCCCGACGCACGGGCAAGGCGCTGGGGAACCCGGACTTCTCGAGGCGCATCTGGCACTCCGGGGAGGCCGCAAAAGTCCGGGGCACGCACACATGGCTGACGAATGCCTACCAGACCACCCCAACCCAGCCCGAAGACCCAAGTTTCGGGTTGGGGGGGGGTACGGGTTCCTTATGTGTTTTCTCGATGTTCCCCGACCCCCCCCCCACTGGAAAAAGTCCGGGGCACGCAAACACTTCGCGCTGCGCGAAGCGCGAAGTGCGAACAGCTTCGCGCTCCCGCGCCGCCTCCCAGGGGAGAAGAGGATGTTGAGGAGGATGTTGAATAACTTCGCGCCCTCGAGGGCGCCCTTGCCCGGGTGTGTTCTGAACAGCTCTCGACGCGAATTCAGCCGCTCCATCACTTCTTTCGGGGGCGCGCAAACAAGGATCAGCGATCCATGGATTTGGCGCGCGGTCGCCGCCAGATCCATGGATCGGGGGAGGCGCCCCCCCCAAAATGCGGCCGGTGCCGCCTCGTTCGGCGGCGGAAATCCGCGATCTCCCACGGAAACGGGTCCCGTCCCTAATCCACGCCCCCGCGATCCAAGCTTGCCATCGCCTGAAAAGGGGGACAGCGGGCAAAGGGTAGAGGTGTGGGAACCTTTTCCTCCTCTGACAGTGGCCATGCGCGGCCCCACGGCAGGCGCTCCGCACGGGGCACCCGCACAACGCCGCTCCGGCCGCGGCCGCGGCGCCCCGGGCCGCGCGGGGCTGCGGATAAACGGTCCGGGGCGCGCCAGCCTGGGCCAGCCAGAGCCCTGTCGTGGAGCCAGGCCGGCTGCTCAGCACAGGGCAGTTTTTAATACATAGGATTTTCTAAAATAGAGGACTCTTCATACATGATTGATTCATGAATAACTTTATGCATGAACTCGTCGTTGTTTTAAGTACCAAATCCATGCATGTTTCATACATGATCCGCACGCGGAGCATGTATTAAAAACGGCACTGTACAGTCAACCCGTAGTATCAGGATGCGCGGTGAGGATGAAAGGGCCTTGGAAGGCCGTGCTCACGTTTCTTCGAACGAGGTTGGCCAGCGAACGTCGCCAAGGATGGGCCGAAAGGGGAAGGGATGCAAGGGTACCTGGAGGCCTCCTAGGTGGGGTCGGAGTAGATGGGGTCGGAGGATCGCGCCGCATCGCCGGTACATCGGCGATACATCGCCGATGCGTCGGCGATGCATCCGCGACGCCAGGGTGGAGAAAATTGTGCTCCACATCGAACCACATCGCCGATGCAGTGAGGATCCAGCGCGATCCTGCGACCCCATCTACTCGGACCCCATCTAGGAGGCCTCGAGCTTTGTGGGCCCTGGAAACGGCCGGGCCGTTTTTTCACCGTTTCCAAAAAAAAATCCTTTGAAAATGAAAACGGCAACAAAAACGGCGACCGGAAACGGCAAAAAACGGCTCCAGGATTGGAACTGGAGCCGGAACCGGTCCAAAAACGGCGACGGAACCGGTCAAAAAGCGGCGTCGGAACCGGCAGAAACACGGCAAAACGGAACCGGTAAGAAAACGGCCCTGCCGTTTCCAGGGCCCAGTAAGGCCTGGAGTACCCTTAGGGAAGGTCGCCCAACCTCCCTACCCGGGTCCACTGTAGCTCCCACCCCCGGGGCCCGCGGAGGGGACAACAGGGGCCCTCGACCCCACGTGGCCCCCAAGCCCGGGTCCGGCAGGGGGGGATCGGCCGACCCCGGGTTACGTGAGCCTCGTACTGCGGTTGAGTCGGGCGTGTCCCCCTACAAGGGGATTTTGGAAGCCCCCCAAAGAACTCAAATCAAAAACAGAATTGAAATGGAATGCCCAGAACAGGAAACAAACCGTCCCCACACTGTTTTTTTGACTACTTCTCAAGAAATGCTCCTCCTGCAGAGGGACACGCCCGACTTACTACTACGGACGTGTCTCCCGCCCACCAGGAGCAAGATCGGTCGGCGCCGAAGCAGGGAGGCCGCATCGGACCGCGGTGTGCGCCGGGATCGGGCCGCACCAGCAAGGAGAGTCGGAGACGGGCTGAGTCGGCCGCGCCGGGACGCGCAGAGGTGCCACGCTGCGGCCACGCGGAGCACATCGGGGCGCATCGGAGCGGCGGACTGCCCGCATCGGACCCGATCGGTCGCGTGCAACACCGCACTGAGCAGATCGGGGCGCAGCGTCGGGAGCGGCCAAGAGGGGGGTGTCGAAGAGGGGGGTGTGCAAATCATGACCGGCGGCATGTGCGCGGCGCAGCGGGCGGGCCAGGGACGTAATGAAATAAGAAGAGGCGCCATGAGATCTGGGGAAATATCATGGCCCACGCCATGATATCCACCCCCCCCTAGTCATCACCCCCCTCTTTTCCGCCCCCGACAGCGGAGCGTCGGACTGCTGGAGTCGAGCCGGAGCGGCCGCGCGCAACGCTCGGACGTTGCTAAGACGAAGACAGATGTTCCAGAGCGCTCTGGAACGCTCTCAGAAGGTTCGGGAACGCTCGGAGATTGCCGCGGCGCCCGAGGCATGAGCCGCCAGATGCCAGAGATTCTGGACGTATCCTCGCCCGATGTTCTCCTCGATCTGGCTTCGCCTTGAACGCCACGCTGAGGACATCGGGCCGTAGCATCGGGCCAGTGCATCGGGCTGAGAATGCACCTGCAGCGCATTTTTCTGCAGGCGCAAAGGCCCCCCCTGGAAGGTCCAGAGGCTGTGAACACTACGGCAAGGCAATCTGCCGTTGCCTCGCACGCGACCGCTTCTCCGTCTTGCGACGCCATGTATGGCCGAGGCGTCTGTGCCAATGCGCTCGACACCCAGTGCGCACACCATACAGCACACTCCGCCCCAAGAGGTCCTCGCCCGCGCCCGTCTGAAGGGCGGATGAGGTCCATCAGACTGCGGCCGGGCAAACGGGGCACGGTCAACAACGCTGCCCATGCATGTGGGGTGCTTGCATCGTCTGACCAGAAACTATTCGAGTGCTCTGTGGGGCCCCACCGCTTCAGAAGCCCGGGACGACAGATGCCGCAACTGGAGGAACAACAGCGCAGCAAACGGAAGCGCAACCTTCCAGAGGTCCGCGCGCGGATTTCTTGGATCGGCGCTGGAGCCCCTCCCTGGCGCGAGGAGCGCACCAGGGGCGATCCGAATAATCCACGTGGCGCTCCGACCTCCTCCTCCTCCTCGTCCATAAATGAAGAATATGAATGCTACTCTCCGCTCTCACCTGGTAGCGTCCGGAACATGGCCGGCCCCTTCGCGTACTGGTTCTTTGCACAAGGGCTTTCCCGGCAACGGGTTTGCGCTTGGGTCATTATTTGGAATGCTGCTCTCGCTGAAGCGCTGGCCTCATTTTCGGGCCACCGCTCGTTCCGAGTCGTGCTCCCGCTGCAGCGCTGGCCTCATTTCCGCGCTTCCGTTCGCACCGAATCGTGCTCAAGCTGTAGCGCTAGAATCAACTGTTCCAGCGCCATGCCGCGGCATGGCTTTCGATCCTTCCAACTAGGCCGCAAAATCTCGACCCCCACCCCGAAAAAAAACATCGGAAGTGACTACACATTCGGTGTCGATTCATGGATGTTTTGCGCCGCGGAAGCCCCCCACTTCGGGGCGTCGCCACGCCATGCTATGTCAGGCTACGCGTCCTCATTTCCGCGCTTCCGCGCTTGGGTTCTTTTTCAAAGTGCTACTCTCTCTGAAGCGCTGGCCTCATTTTCGGGCTACCGCTCGTTCCGAATCGTCCCGCTGCAGCGCTGGCCTCATTTCCGCGCTTCCGTTCGTTCCGAATCGTGCTCCCACTGCAGCGCTGGCGTCAATATTTCCAGTGCCATGTCACGGCATGGTTTTCGGTCCTTCCAAATAGGCCCCAAAATCTAAAACATGGTCTTCCGAAGAAACCATCGGAAATGATTCCACATTCGGTGTCGATTGTTGAATTATTTGGGCCGCAGAAGCCCCCCATTTGGGGGCGTCGCCACCCCATGCTATGTCATGCTACGCGTTAGTCTTCAACACCATGCTATGCCATGTAATGCTACGCCATGCTACGACATCCGATTGTGCGAATAGGGAGATCTGCGCCATGGTAAGGGATGGGAGGGAGGGGTAGGACGTCAGATATGACGCGAGCGCACCTAGCTTATCCTCCTCCCCCTCCCCCTCGCCCTCCTCCTCCCCCTCCCCCTCCCACTCCCCCCCACTCCCCCGGAGGGTGTGTGTTTGCAGATGTTTCCTCTTCGGTCTAAGCACGCCCCCAAACATGCGATATCCTTACTTGGTCCATACGGTGGCAACTCATGGGAGCCCCCCACACCATCTTGGTGGCTCTTGCGAATCGATGCTGATCGACGCTGAATCGACGCTAACCGTCGCCAAATCGACGCCAAACGGTGCTATCCCATCGGCTCCAGACGCTAATCCACGCGAATCGTAAGACGGAATCAAGAGGGTATATCAACGTCCCATGATTTGCCACCGAATGCTCAATACGGGGTCCCCGGAAGACCCGACCGACCCTTTCCACAGGGCCGGTCTTACTAGGGGAACAAAAGTTACATAAACATAAAAACTCGGAGCCCCGCGCGGATTTCTCGGATCGGCGCTGGGGCCCCCTCCCTGCCGCGAGGAGCGCGCCAGGGGCGGCGCCGGAGGGGCCGCCGGGGGGGCCCCAGCGCCGACCCGAGGAATCCGCGCGGAGCTCCGAGTTTTTATGTTTATGCCACTGTTTGTTCCCCTGATACGGGGCCCCCGGAAGACCCGACCGACCCTTTCCACAGGGCCGCTCTCACGTCCCGAAGCGCTTTGTCTGACGGTCTGAGGGCCCGGCGAGGACTCTCCCCGAGGATCCAATTGGACGGCACACAAAACAGCTCGCCATGGCTCCGACCACCCGCTCCTCGTGCACCTCGTCGGGGCCGCGCGGCTATTTTTGTCGCACGCCGATCCAGGCGGAGGGGGAGGAGGAGGAGGAGGAGGAGGAGGAGGAGGAGGAGGAGGAGGAGGAGGAGGAGGACGAGGACGAAGAGGAGGAGGAGGAGGAGGAGGAGGAGGAGGAGGAGGAGAAGATGGGGGAGGAGGAGGAGAAGGAGGAGGTGGAGGAGGAGGAGAGGAGGTGGAGGAGGCCTCGATGGTCCCCACCGAGAACAAAACACACACACACAAACACACACACACACAAGTCCAAGTGATGCCAGGACCAAACAAAAGAAGCCATCGTGCGATGGCACGCAGCTCGAGCATGTCTGGGGCCCCTCTCGCCCGCTGCGCACGGCCCGTGGAGCGGACCCCCCGCCGCGCCTGCTCGCAGGGCCGCCGTGAACTCCGCGCTGCCCAGCACCCCGGTGCCGGCCCGGTCGTAGTAGGCGAAGAGGTCGCCCGCGTCCAGGAACGCCATGGCGCCCCCGGCGCCCCGCGGCTGCGTCGATCGGCAGCGCCAGGAGGACGAGGGGAACGGGAGAGGGGGAAGAAGCGGGGATCAACACAAGATCCCAGCGGACCTTTCTGGCGCCGGTGGTCTCACGAGATTGCTCCTTCCTCTTCCAGAGCCCCTCTTCCCTCAGGGAGGGGTACGTACCCTCCCCTCGAGGTTTTTCCCAACCATCCTGTGGTGTTGGGTCCTCGTTTTGAAGAGACTGTCCCCGCGTTCCTCCTTCCCGCCCTCCTTCCACTCCTCCCTCCTCTTACCACCTCACATTTAGGCCCACCCCTCACACGGTTCGTGGCCCCATGGGAAGCTCCACCGAAGGCCCCAGTGGCAAAATTTGCATGCGGCTCCACCCCCATCTTTGGCCAACCCCTCACACGGTTCGTGGCCCCATAGGGAGCTCCACCGAAGGCTCCAGTGGCAAAGTTCGCATGCGGTTCCGCCCCCATGTCGGCGCACCCCTCACACGGTTCGTGGCCCCGTAGGGAGCTCCACCGATGGCCCCAGTGGCAAAGTTAGCTTGCAGTTCCACCGCCATTTTGGCCCACCCCTCACACGGTTCGTGGCCCCATAGGGAGCTCCAACGAAGGCCCCAGTGGCAAAGTTCGCTTGCAGTTCCACCCCCATTTCGGCGCACCCCTCACACGGTTCGTGGCCCCGTAGGGAGCTCCACCGAAGGCTTCAGCGGCAAAGTTCGCATGCAGTTCCACCCCCTTTTCGGCGCCCCTCACACGGTTCGTGGCCCCATAGGGAGCTCCACCGATGGCCCCAGCGGCAAAGTTCGCTTGCAGTTCCACCGCCATTTTGGCCCACCCCTCTACACGTCTCGTGGCCCCATAGGGAGCTCCACCGAAGGCCCAAGTCGCAAAGTTCGCATGCAGTTCCGCACAATTTCGGCACAACCCTCACACGGTTCGTGGCCCCATAGGAAGCTCCACCGAAGGCCCCAGTGGCAAAGTTCGCATGCGGTTCCGCCCCCATGTCGGCGCACCCCTCACACGGTTCGTGGCCCCATAGGGAGCTCCACCGAAGGCCCCAGTGGCAAAATTCGCTTGCGGTTCAACCGCCATTTCGGCGCCCCTCACACGGTTCGTGGCCCCATAGGGAGCTCCACCGAAGGCCCCCCATTTCGGCGCACCCCTCACACGGTTCGTGGCCCCATAGGGAGTTCCACCGAGGGCCCCAGTGGCAAAGTTCGCATGCAGTTCCACCCCCGTTTCGGCGCACCCCTCACACGGTTCGTGGCCCCGTAGGGAGCTCCACCGAGGACGGTCTTTACCATTGCGTTACTGACAACTGCACATGGTTGGGTCCTTCGCCAGGATCATGTGTTGGGGGCTCCGAAACAAGAGGGCCCCTCAATGCTCCAAGACGGTCCCCACGATGGCTCACAAGAACCGAAGATTGTCCAAGATGGTTTCTGGCATGCCTCTAAGAGGCTTCAAGAGGACCACAAGACTGCTCCAAGTGCTCTCGGAGCCCCCTCAGGACCTCCCCAAGAGGCCCCAACCGTTCAAACCGCCAACAAAAATACCCTGTGACGTACCCAACCCATTTGTATCAATGGAAATGAGGAGTTGGCCGAAACTTGCATGGACAATCAACTTGATGTGTAAGCTACTTGGGAGGCGTCACTGTGCTGGGCCCCGCAAGCAGGCTTCGAAAGTGGCGACGGTTTCACAGATCGCAGCCCCCCAGGGATGGCGAGGTCCAATTTGAATCTACGTGTGGCGTCATTGTGCTGGGCCCCCCAGCAGGCCTCGAAAGTGGCGACAGTTTCACAGATCGCAGCCCCCCAGGGATGGCGAGGTCCAAATTGAGTCCACCGTGTGTACCCTCTGTGCTGGGCCCCCCAGCAGCCCTCGAAAGTGGCGACAGTTTCGCAGATCGCAGCCCCCAAGGGATGGCGAGGTCCAATTTGAGTCCGCCGTGTGTACCCACTGTGCTGGGCCCCCCAGCAGGCCTCGAAAGTGGCGACAGTTTTACAGATCGCAGCCCCCCAGGGATGGCGAGGTCCCATTTGAGTCCGCGTGGGTACCCACTGTGCTGGGCCCCCCAGCAGGCCTCGAAAGTGGCGACAGTTTCGCAGATCGCAGCCCCCAAGGGATGGCGAGGTCCAATTTGAGTCCGCCGTGTGTACCCACTGTGCTGGGCCCCCCAGCAGGCCTCGAAAGTGGCGACAGTTTCGCAGATCGCAGCCCCCAAGTGATGGCGAGGTCCAATTTTAGTCCGCCGTGTGTAACCCACTGTGCTGGGCCCCCAGCAGGCCTCGGAAAATGCGGTGACAGTTTCCCAGAATCGCAGCCCCCCAGAGGGGGATGGCGAGGTCCAAATTTAGTCCGCCGTGTGTACCCTGTGCTGGGCCCCCAGCAGGCCTCGAAGTGGCGACAGTTTCATCAGATCGCAGCCCCCAAGGGATGGCGAGGTCCAATTTGAGTCCGCCGTGTGTACCCACTGTGCTGGGCCCCCCAGCAGGCCTCGAAAGTGGCGACAGTTTCGCAGATCGCAGCCCCCCAGCTGGCACGCAGCGACGAGCGAAGGCAGGGGGGAAGAGAGGGGCGGGAAGGAAGGAAGAAAGTAAGAACGGAGACGCGCGAGCAGTGCTCTATTCAAAATGAGAACCCAACGCAGGAGGGTTGGGAACAAATGATCTGCGCCTTCTCGCCGTTCTGCTCCCGATGCTGTTCTGAGGCATCACACTTGTCCAAAAATGGGCCCAACAGGCCCGCCAACCGGCGCGCCAACCGGCGCCCCAACGAAGGCCCCAGTGGGAACGTTCGCGTGCAGTTCCACCACCCAATGTCGGCGCACCTCTCACACGGCTCGTGGGCTACCGGGAGCCTCACCGCAGGCCCCAGTGAGAAAGTTCGCATGCAGTTCCACTCCCATGTCGGCGCACCCCTCACGCGGTTCCTGGTCCCAGAAGCTGTCCCACCGAAGGCGTCGGTGGCAAGGTTCGCCTGCAGTTCCGCCATCAGTTCGGCGCACCCCGCACACGCGTTGTGGTCCCATAGGGAGCTCCACCGAGGGCCCCAGGGCTTGCATGCAACTCCACCCCTCATTTCGGCGCACCCCTCACGCGTTTCGTAGCCCCACAAGGAGTTCCGCCGAAGGCCCCACGGGCAAGATTCGCATGCGGTACCATGTACGATTTCGCTGCACCCCTCACACGGTTCGTGGCCCTATAGGGAGCTCTACCTAAGGCCCCAGTGACAAGGTTCGCATGCGGTTACACCCCTCATTTCAGCGCGCACCCTCGCACGCTTCGTGAGCTCCACCGAAGGCCCCACTGGCAAGGTTCGCACGCGATGCCACCCCCCATGTCGTCGCACCCCTCGCACTGTTCGTGCCCCCAGAGGGAGCTCCACCGAAGGCCCCAAATGCAGGGTTCGAATGCAGTTTCACCCCCCCGATCCCGTCGCACTACTCACACGTTCGTGGCCCCTTGGGGAGCTCCACCAAAGACTGGACTCACACGGCTACTGGAGATGTCGAGGCAGTTCGGATCAGGATGAGGGGGTCAGGTTGAGGAGGATGATGATAAGGATCGGGGTGTGAGCAGGCCGCGATCCAGTCCCAGAGACCTCCCCCCGAACCGCCCCACATAAGATTATTCAGGGAACGTGAACGGATGGAGTTTCAAGTCGCCTGATCGGCGACCTGACCTCCATGCTTTTTCGTTGCGTTGGTTATCTGAGGTGTCGGGCCTTGGGTGGGAGGTCTTGCGCGGGAACGGGATTCTGGGGATGGTCTCGAGGAGGGGGGAGGACGTTTGTTGTTCCCAACCATCCTGTGGTGTTGGGTCCCCGTTTTGAAGAGACAGCGCCGCGTCTCATACGTTCCCCCTGCCCCCTCCTCCTCTCCTCGCCCTCCTCCTCCGCCTCCTCCTCATGTTCGATCTCGGCTCAGCCTGCGCCGCCCATTTCAGCACACCCCTTAAACGTGTCGTGGCCTCATGGGGGACTCCACCGAAGGCCCCAATGGCAACGTTCACATGGCGCCCACGAACACCACGAACACGTTTCGTGGCCCCACACGGAGCTCCACCTAGGGCCCCAGTGGCAAGGTTCGCATGCAGTTCCGCCATTACTTCGGCGCACCCTCACACGTGTATTGGCCCCACAGGGAGCTCCACCGAAGGCCCAAGAAGCAGCGTTCGCAAGGCGAGCCCGCGCCCATTTCAGCATCCCTCTCACGCGCTTCGTGGCCCAATAGGAAGCTCCACCAAAGGCCCCAATGGCAGCGTTCGCATAGCGGCCCCGCTCCATTTCGGCACACACGTCACACGTTTCTTGGCCCGCATCTGGAGCGCCACCAAAGGCCCTAATGGATGCGCCTGCATGCGCCCCCGCCCCACTTCGTTACACCCTTTACACGCTTCGTGGGCCATTCGCCAGGATATTTTGCTTGCGTCGCTCATCTGAGAAAGCCTGCCTCCTCTCACTCCCCCCCCTAGGACGAAACCAAACCGAGGATAACATCGGATGACGATAAATCAAGAGTCTCTGAGATCTGGCGGTTCTGGAAATTGCCTCGGGCTCCGCGGCCTTCTCTCGAGCGTTCCGGAACGCTCTGAGAGCGTCAGATGGCAACTCATGGGCGCCTCCTATACCATCTTGTCGGCTTTTGCGAATCGACGCTAATCGGCGCTAGTCGACGCTAAATCGACGCCTCCCAGACGCTTATCGACGCTAGCCGACGCTAAAGACGGAGTTGCGAGGGTGCTCCCACGATTTGCTACCGAAAGAGCGTCCTGGAACGCTCTGGAACGGATTGGTCCTCGTCCTCGCCCCGTCCGCTGAAGGCCTGCCTCCTCTCACATTCCCCCCCCCCCCCCAGGGGCGGCCAAGAGGGGGGCGTCCAAGAGGGGGGGCGCAGATCATGGCCCGAGGCACGTGCGCGACCCAGGGGGTGGGGGTGTGGGGGGGACGTTTTGCAATAAGCGGAGGCGCCATGAGATCTGGGGAGAC